TTATTTTGTATTTCTTCCATTTTCTAAGAATTGCACCAACTGTTGTTGCCTTCTCACCAAGCTGCTTTGTTTTAGATTCCATCACTCACAGTTGAAGAGTACCTATGATAAAAATTACAGACACCTACAAGCTTTGCAAGTGGGAAAACCTGAAAAATCAACAGTGTATCAAATACTTGTTCTCCCCACTGTATTGCAAAACAAATTTTACGCTGTTGAGATGAACAGTTGGTGAGATATTTGCAAGTAAAGTAACAGGAAGTGATGTCAAAGGGGAATGTCTGCATGTGAGCGGAGCATAACTACAACAGCTAATAACACAGACTGTAGAGAAGAAACTCATGTTTATTTAGATCATTTTGAGTCACCATCAGTGGGAGATGAAGAAGAATCAGAGTTCAAAGAATAATGTTTCATTAAACAAAGACCAGAGAGTTCTCTTTCTTAAAGAGTTCCCCTTTGATGTCACTTCCTGTTCCATTTTGACTGAGACAAGATCAGAAGAAAAACTGCCAGTTATGTGACAAACAGGGTAAAATCATGTGTAATATGTTACGTTTCTTAAATATAAAGATGTTTTCTTTGACTTTTTATATTTGAAAAGTATGCATGTCACAGGCACTTTAAATGGACCGCTCTGGAAGCTGGAAKGGGGCGGGGTTTTGGATTTAAAGAGACAGCCTCAAAATGAGTTGATCTGAGACACACCTCAGAAAGACGGTGAAAGCGAGGCTCGTGGAGTTGACTCCTACAGTGAGGACCTACCTCGACCACGCTGATGAGGACGATGAAGATGGGGGGCGGGCAGCAGTTGGCACGTTCCAGGTACTTCTCCCGGTGGTCTTCTGGAAGCATCCATTTGGAGATGGAAAGGTGGAGCCTCTCGCAGCAGCCCTTCTTCCTCTCCTCCTCTCTGTTCCTACGTAGCGGATCCTGCTGCTCCACATCGTCCTCCTCCATCACTTCTGCTGTCCTCAAAGGGTTAATCTGAAATAAATAATAAAATAAATAAAAATATAAACGTTTTTATCAAGATCTCCTGTGACGAGATATCGAGCTCAGAGTTTGTTCCTACAAGCACACCAACAACTGTTGTTTGTGTTAGCAAAATATCTTTTGAACCACTGGATATATTTTCATTAAATTTACAGAGGTGAGTAAAACAGTAGCTAAAAGCCAAAAATAGCATAATGCTAGAAGCTAAAGGCAGCTAAAATTTAGCTAAAAGGATCAAAAATTTGCTAAAAATGTAAAAAGACTAGCTGAAACTACTTTAATAAAATATAAGCTATGAAGCTTAGCACAGAAAACTAACCAAAAACATCAAAGCACTAACTAAGTTATAAGAACAGCAAAAACAGTTGCTAAAAGGAGTGTAAGAAAACAAAAATAGAGGCAAAAGGGGATTTTTAAGCAAACAATATTTTTGAAGGACCTAATGGGATCAAAATGTAGCCTATAGGCCACTATRGATAGATAAATTTAAAATTTAAAACATCAGGAAGACTATAATAGTGAATTCAACTTTCTCACTTTTTTTAAATCATTTGCATGTATTAGTTATGAGTTAGATTGAGTTCTCCTCTGCATGTTAAAAGGAAAAAAATTGTATAGGTCTTCTGGACGGGTTCTTCTCTAATGAAACGTTTCATCTCTCTTCCAAGAGACTTCTTCAGTCTGAGAGTTTCAGGCAAAATTCAGGCTTTTAAGCCCTGCCTCCAGGTGACTGATACTCGGATGGCATGGCTCTACAATTTTTTTTCCTTTTGATTTTTTACCTGGATTACTGAGATGCATCAGGACTCCTCTGCATGTTAATATTTTAG